TGTGCAACCAAGATTACTTTATCCAGCAAAGCTATCATTCAGAATTGAAGGTCAGATAAAGAGCTTCACGGATAAGAAAAAGCTAAAGGAGTTCATCACCACCATACCAGTATTATATGAAATGCTGAATGGTAACCTTTAAGAAGAGGAAGAAGAAGAATAAAAAGGTAAAGATACAAATTACGAACAACAAATACACATCTATCAACAAGTGAATCTAAAAATCCAGTGAATAAATAATCTGATGAACAGTATGAACTGGTGATTGTAATAGAATCAGGGACATAGAAAGGGAGTGGACTGACTCTTCTTGGGGGGAAAAGGGGTGTGGGGGTGTGGGAAGAGACTGTACAAAAATCGTATACCTATGGATGAGGACACTGGGTGGGGAGGGGACCTGGTAAGAGCTGAGGGTCGGGTGGGAACCGAGTGTAGGGAGCTATGGTGGGGGACGGGGGGAAAGAAACAACTGTAATAATCTGAACAATGAAGATTTAATAACAATTAAAAAATAAAGAAAAAAGAAAAAAGAACAAGAAAAAGCTCAAATAAACAATCTAACACTATAACTAAAAAGAGTAGAAAAGACAACAATAAAAAAGCCCAGAGTAAGTTGAAGAAAATAAATAATAAAGATCAGAGTGGAAATAATGACATAGAGACTAAAAATCAAACAAACAAACAAAAAGGTACATCGCATAAACAAAATAAAGGATAAAAATCCTTTCAAGAACTGGTTATTTGAAAAAATAAACAAGATTAATGAACCTTTAGCCAGACTAATTGAGAAACAGAGGACCAAATAAATAAAATCAGAAATGAAAGAAGTGAAGTAACAAATAACATTACAGAAATACAAGGACTGTAAGAAGATACTATGAATAACTATATGCCACAAATTGGACAAGCTGGATGAAATGAACAAATTCCTAGAAATATACAATTTGCCAAGAATCAGAAAACCTAAATAGGTTGATAACTAATGAAATTGAAGTAGTAATAAAAAAAAAACACAAACAAACAAACAAACAAAAATACTCCCAGCAAGTAAAGTCCTGCACTGGATAACTTCACAGTGGAGTTTTAACAAACTTTCAAAGAAGTAACACCTACCCTCCTCAAACTATTCTAAAAAAAATTAAAAGGAAGAAAGACTTTAAAGTTCTTTTTATGAGGCCATTACTATCTTAATTCCAAAACCAGATAAAGACACTACAAGGAAGAAAATTATAGGTCAATATCCCTGCTGAACATAGATGCTAAGACTTAACAAATGAACATAGATGCTAAGATCCTTAACAAAATAGTACCAAATCAGATCCACGAATACATTAAAAACATCATACATCATGACCAAGTGGGATTTGTTTCTGGGATGCAAGGATTGTATAATATTTGTGGGTCAATAAATGTGATACACGACATAAACAAAATAAAGGATAAAAATCACATGATCATATTTATAGACAGAGAAAAATTATTTGACAAAATCCAGCACCCAATTATGATAAAAACTCTCACCAAATTGGGAATAGCCCAGCCCGTGTAGCTTGGTGATTGAGCATCCACCCAGGAGCCAAGAGGTCACCAGTTCTCTCTATCCCTCTTCTTTCTTCTCTAAAAATCAATAGAAACATATATTTTTAAAAAGGGGACTAGAGAGACCATACCTCAGCATAAAAAAGGCCATGCATGACAAACCTAGAGCCAACATCATACTCAATGAACAGAAGCTAAAAGGCTTTCCCTTAAGAATAGGAATAAGACAGGGATGTCTGCTTTCATCACTCGTATTCAACACTAGTGGCCCGGTGCACGAATTTGTGCACATTGAAAGGAAATGAATTAGAAGAAATATTTTAATATCACTATTCGTTCTTTCTCTATAATAAAAGTGTCAACTAAATTCAAAATCAACAATGACAGATGGAAACATACACATGTGATTGACACCAGTGAGAGCTTTATATGTATCACACATGTGTAAGTTAACTTAGCTTTTTATATATATAGAATAAACTTGCTTAATTAAAAAAAAAAGAGTGCCAGATTTTATTGAATGATTTTGCTGCATTTTTTATATGATTATGTGGTTTTTATCTTTCAATTTATTTATGTTATATATCACATTTATTGATTTGTGAATATTATAACAGCTTGCATACCTGGAATAAATCCCACTTGATTGTGGTGTATGATCTTTTTAATATATTGATGGACCTGATTTGCTGTAACTTCGTTGAGAATTTTAGTATCTGTGTTCATCAAGAATATTGACCTGTAATTTTCTTTCTTTGTACTATCTTTATCTGGTTTTGGTATTAGGATAATGCTGGCTAGTAAAAATAGCTTGGAAGTGTTCCTCCTTCTTGAATTTTTTGAAATAGTTTGAGGAGGATAAGTGTTAGTTCTTAGAATGTTTGGTAAAATTTACCTGTATTCATCTGGTCCAGGACTTTTGTTTGCTGGAAGGTTTTTTTTTTTTTGTATGTTTTACATCCTATTCTTTTTATTGAATTTACTGGGGTGACATTGGTTAATAAAATTATATAGGTTTCAGGAGTACAATTATATAAAACATCATCTTATATTGTATTTTGTGTTCACCACATGTCCAATAAAGGACAAGTCCAGTATCCTTTCATCACCATTTATTGCCCTTATACCCTCCTCCACCTCCCTTCACCCCTTTTCCCTCTGGTAATCACCATACTGTTGTTGTCTGTGCCTATGAATTTGGTTTAGTTTTTTCTTATCTTTTTTTAATTAAATTTTTATTGTTCAGATTATTACAGTTGTTCCTCTTTTTTCTCCCCATAGCTCTCCTCCACCCAGTTCCCACCCCACCCTCTGCCCTTACCCCTCTCGCTGTCCTCATCCACAGGTGTACAATTTTTGTCGAGTCTCTTCCTGGGCCCCCACACCCTTTTCCCCCCAAGAATTGTCAGTCCACTCCCTTTCCATGCCCCTGGTTCTATTATATTCACCACTTTACTCTGTTCATCAGATTTTTTATTCACTTGATTTTTAGATTCACTTGTTGATATATATGTATTTGCTGTTCATAATTTTTATCTTTAACTTTTTCTTCTTCTTCTTCTTAAAGAATACCATTCAGCATTTCATATAATGCTGGTTTGGTGGTGATGAACTCCTGTAGCTTTTACTTATCTGTGAAGCTCTTTATCTGACCTTCAATTCTGAATGATAGCTTTGCTGGGTGAAGTAATCTTGGGTGTAGGTTCTTGGAAATCATCACTTTGAATATTTCTTGCCACTCTCTTCTGGCCTGCATAGTTTCTGTTGAGAAATCAGCTGACAGGCGTATGGGTACTCCCTTGTAGGTAACTGACTTTCTTTCTCTTGCTGCTTTTAAGATTCTCTGTTTGTCTTTTGCTCTTGGCATTTTAATTATGATGTGTCTTGGTGTGGTCCTCTTTGGATTCCTTTTGTTTGGGGTTCTCTGTGCTTCCTGGACTTGTAAGTCTATTTCTTTCACCAGATAGGGGAAGTTTTCTGTCATTATTTCTTCAAATATGTTTTCAATATCTTGCTCTCTCTCTTCTTCTGGCACCCCCATCATTTGGATGTTGGTACACTTGAAGTTGTCCCAGAGGCTCCTTACACTATCTTCACATTTTGGGATTCTTTTTTCTTTTTGCTTTTCTGGTTGGGTATTTTTTGCTTTCTCGTATTTCAAATCATTGATTTGATTCTCAGGATCCTCTAGTCTGTTTATGCC